ATCTACGACTATGTTGTAAATCACTTTCACGAATCAGCCCGCAAATGTAGTCTCCCATCATGTTCTCGTTATACTGTCCTTGGTAGCGGCGTTCAAAGTCCAGTATATCCTGGTGGAAGCGCTCGCCTTGCTCCTCCGAGTACGCTCCCATGTTCTCCTTGAATTTATCAAGATGAGTATCAAGGATATGGACTTTGAGGGACATCCTACAGCCCATTGTGCCGTAGTTCTTCACCAGTCTCAACCACAGCTCCACATAGTTTTCGACTTTGTGATTGCCCAGGAAGCCACGAACCACTGCGAAAAAGCTGTCCCAAGATGCTTTCTCCTTACTAGTGAGCTTCTTGGGGAATTCATTGCACTCAAGCATCTTCTTTATCTGTGGTCCGATGAAGACACCGGCTTTGACCTTTGCCTCAGACAGCTTCGAGAAGAAGTCTTGAAGGTACTTGAAGGCTTATTCCTTTGGTTTTTCGGTAAAATCACATACAAAGGTTAAAATAAAATAACAAAAAGTAACCTTATTTTCTTTGAACCTATCTACATTACTTTACCGAAAGACCCAAAGAATATGTATTCCTGCAGTCACGAAAGCTTTAAGTCAAGATTTACTTGTCGGCTGCCTACTCCTTATCTACAGCTCTGACAAATTGTTTCATAAGGCCCAATTTGATGTGCAGTGGTTGGCATCAGCAACTTCTGGGGGTCCACCAGTGGCTCCTATCTGACGTTGTTCCCCCCCACAGAGAACTCGGTCCGCTGTGGCCAGTCCCGCCTGCGGTAGTGCACCTTGGTGTCCCTGCTGTCCCAAAGGCAAAGATAGCAGGGAAACTTGGTAAAACCGCCTTGCAGACCCATCAGGAATGCCACCATTTTGAAGTCTCCGATGACCCAGCCATACTCTTCATACTGCAAGGTGTCCAGCAAGGTCGTGATGCTGTTGTAATCCTCTTTGAGGTGCAGCGCGTGAGCCAGGGGAAGTGACGGGTACTTGTTACCATTATGGAGCAGCACTGCTTTGAGGCTCCTGGATGAGCTGTCAATGAAGAGGTGCCACTCATTCTGGTTACAGGCGATTCTGATTGCCTCGAATAGACTGGTCACATTGTGGCAGAAGCAGAGCCCATCTTAACAGGTGAAGAAGCTGCAAAAAGATTGGTGACGCTTCCTCTGATCTGCGACTTGCACACTTTCATCCAACAAGTTCCACTGCTTGAGCCTAGACGTCAAAAGCTCGGCATTGGACTTTGTGAGACCAAGATCTCTGATCAAGTCGTTGAGGTCCTTTTGGTTGGGGTAGTTGGGTTTCTCTCCTCAGCTCCACCTCTGAAAGTGTCGCCTGGATCTACAACGTCTTCCTCCCTCTCTGGCTTGCTGCTCTCTTCTAAAGACGGCTGCTCTCTCTCCGGAGGAGTGGGTACGGGGAGCTCATGGTAGTGTGGCACCGGGGCGATGGATAAAGGAAGGTCCGGATATGTGATAGCAGGTGCATTCTTGCCAGTCCGGCGTTTGGAAGGGTCCACCATGCAGAAGTAGCAGTTGCTTGAGTGGTCAGTGGGTTCCCGCCAAATTATTGGGATAGAAAATTTCATGGCTCTCTTTTTCCCTCTGTGCCATCCTACAAAAATGCATTTATTTGACCCATGACTAATGTATAAGAGATTCTCGCAACATTTTTCATGTATGATATATTTTTTCAATAACATTAAAAATTATAAAACTTTTTAAAATTAAAAACTTTTACAATTAAAAAAATGTTAACTAATTTTATAACATAAAATTCCGAGCAACAATTGTCCATCTTACCTTCCAGAGTTTTTTTGCATTGCTTGCAGGTGAAATGAGATGCCCAGGGTTTGTCTTGATCCCCGACAGGCATGCCAAAAAAGGCCTTGTAGGCCTCACACATCTTAGCAGATGCTTCCATAGAGTACTTTTTTGCTCTTGTCTTGATAAATTGGCCGCAGACATAGCAAAATGTGTCTGCCGGATGCTTGCAGCCATTTGATGCCATCTCAGAAAAATGCAGATATGTATCCACTGAGGCAGCTGGAACTAAACTGAACTGGTGGGCTTAAGGCCCCTGTATTTATACTACTATTTATATATTACTGGAAAGTTCTAGAATGTTCTAAAAGTTACTCCAAGTTTACTCAGCACTGAATCTATCTGGAATGTTCTCGAAAATAGGTCAATTTCAAAATATCACTGTCTTGGTCACAAAAGCAAAGTTTGTAGGGAATAATAGCCATTTTCTGTACTTTTGAGGCATAAGCAATTTGGAAACAACACTGATTACCCAGGAACAAAAATAAAATAAAAATGTGTTACACAGTGTAATTGTAAGCTTGCATAAATATTAATTTAACACTCCTGACTTTATAGACACTATGCCTAAACTACTGAGCGTGTCTGAAACCATGTATCCATAGCAACACTTATCCAATTACAAATAATCTAGATTTCAATTACAAACACTTTGACAATGTTGAGAAACCATAGTTAAGGAATTTGCAAAAGTTAATCACTCTGATTTAATTTGTGCATCAGGCGAGGCAGTTTATGGCATTTCGGCACCTCGGTTTGGAACCGAATCTTAAATATTCGTTTGAGTAAAACCATCCTTCCCTATGATCTTAAAGGATGGTCTGCAATGATAGGGATCGATAGTTCAGCCAACAAAAAGCAAAAATATATATTTCACTAGACCCAGGTTAATTTGCGTTTTCTATTTCACTTTTAAATGCATTAAATCTATTTACCATCATAGCAGTACTGATACAACCAACCAATGCCAATTCAGAATAAAATATATATTTTTTTTAAGTCATGATATCAATAAACACTATGCTATATTCTTCCAATTGTTATCAATGGTCAGAGAGATGCAAACTACATTAAGTGTTCAAATATCACTGTTTTCTTCTTTCATTATTAAAAAAAAACCCTTCAAACTGTACACTGGAAGCAAATATGAACCTTAGTCCATGCACAACCCAATAATCAGAGAGATTTTGACATTTAATCTATTTTTCTTTTATTTGGCTTCACGCTTGTTCAATTGATTTTTGCCAAGTTAATGTCAAACTTTAAACCTCCCCAAAAGTGGGTTTTGTTTTAAAATCAATTTAAACTGGTTCAGTTTAAGCAGTTAAATCGACTCACAATGAAATTGACTTTGCTAAATCAATGTGGCTTTGTCTTGCGGGGCATGTCCGGTTGTCATGCATTTGGCATTCCTGACATCTGAACGGCCCTAGAGCCAGCACAGTGGTGTTCTCCGTCCTCCGCGCCCAACCTCGCACGCATCTCAGCCCATCCCACCCCCGCTGTCTCCTGCTCTCCAACATAATCCATCCTGGCGACGCATTACAATTTATGTGGGCAATACAACACGAGGAATTCACACACCCTTAATCCCATTGATTGCATTTTTCATGTATGGCAAAAAAAAACAAGCGCAACAACAACAATCCCATATCTGTATGATGCATTATAGAGGCTGTCATTTTGAGCAATAATAACATCATTGAAATTTAGTTTAAGTGGCAACATTTTCATTACTTTTTTTGCAAAGGCTAAAGAATTCAATTTGTGGAGTGGTGCATATCATAATTGCCAATCATTCACAATTTCATGCAACATCACATTTATTTTACAGGCACAAAAATGTGTAACATTAAATATGCATTACTACTTTAAATCTAACATTTATATGGAATCCTGTATTCACATCTTGTTCAAAATTATGAATTTATGGAAATATACCAATTTTTTTGTTCAAAGTACAATCAGACCAAATTTTGATTTAAAGCTTCCGTGACTGCAGGGACTCATATTCTTGGTTCTTTCGGTAAAGTCACGTAGAAGGGAAACAATAAAATAATAAAAATATAAAACAATGAAATTCTCACGACGTTTCGACTGCAACACAAGCAATCATCATCAGGTGTGAAAACCACAGCAATAAATTTTGAAAAAAGTGGCGGTTATTTTTAACGTTAGCACCACGGAGAGCGATTTGGCAGTTTGTTCAGATGGACGAGTCCATCTATGTTCGGAAAAGAGGAGGGGGGAGACGAAAATGATGGATGCGGTCTGAAAGCCACCGTAAGCGTGAACAATCAATTAAGACTCGAAATGGTTTATCAAATCCTTCCAATGATTGCTAAGCCAGAATCCATCTTCTTGGTTGAAATTGTCTCTGTGTTTGTATATGTGGATAGCCTCATGAACGAATCTCTCATGATAGCCAGATGGCTTGCAAAGAACCTCTGTCTTGGCGAAGTCAATGTCATGTGAACCTACTGAATTATAACAGTGATCTGCCACGGCCGAGGTGTTGGTCCTACCGTGTTTTAAGTCTGCTTTGTGTTCACGAATGCGGTCCGAGATATGTCGTTTGGTTTCTCCAATCACAGAGGCAACTTAGTTTGTAGACGCCAGGGTACTGTATGTCCGGAATCACATCTTTTACAGACGGAACCAGATCACGGATTTTATGTAATGTGTTGAATCGGACCTGGATCTTGTGTTTATTCAAGATATTGGAAATCTTTTTTGTGATCCCCGCAATGTAGGGTAAAGTGATGGTTTTGAAAGGCTCCTCAAGAGGGTCCTTCTTCATGGTTGGAGTGATAGCTTTGCGGATTGTGTAGTTGGAGTAACCATTAGCCTTAAGAGCTTGGTGGTTTTCACACCTGATGATGATTGCTTGTGTTGCAGTCGAAACGTGAGAATTTTATTGTTTTATATTTTTATTATTTTATTGTTTCCCTTCAACGTGACTTTACCGAAAGAACCAAGAATACAATCAGACCAGTAATGTTTTTTTTCTTCTGGCATTTAATTATGTTGTGCATTCCTTCACTCACAATATTATAGTAAAGATATGAACTGAAAAACACATTTTTAAAAACATCAGAAACAAGAGATTGCTTGCTACATGATGATGGCAAAAACAGAGTTCTCCGGAGGCAAAAGTACAAAGAGTCACTCACCCGCTCGCCACACATATACATTGTCCTCGGCATCGGCGGAGTCGCAGAGAGCCAGGGATGCAAGAGATGTCATCATCAGCAGGAGAGGCAGAAGCAGCCGCCATCGGCTCTTCTGAGGCATGATGGAAAACAGCCCAGCCCAGGACTTCACTTTGAAGGTCTCCTCTCCCGTCAGTGACAGCTGATGCACGAAGAGCTTCATGGCAGAATTCCCCTTCTCGCTGTCCATACTTAGCAGTGAGTGCTCCCCGCTTTTCACACACAGGCTAAATCCCATTCAAGGCTGCAGACTGCGGAGCGGGCATTCAAGCGTGAAAACTGTGGCAGGGCGTACTTTCTGAATTGAATCAGTCACGGGCAAGAAAGATCCTTTGGCTTCAGCCACTCAGCCTGCGTATGCGCCCAATGCAATGGTTGTCGTCATCTTTAGCATGCCTCCCAGTGCAAACGTAGGCAGGCTTCCGTGCTTCGCTTATTGACGAGAGCACTATGAAAGGAGGCTCGCATAAATTCGTTAGGGGAGGGGGAAAAAAGTCTTATTCTGTTCCTAGAAGCAGTCTGAAACTTTCAGGTATTGGTAGATTACACATATATATTTTAATAGACAGGGTTCAGTCGGTTTCTCTGTATTTTAAATTCACCACAGTGAGAATTCCGCCTTCTCGGGTACAGTGCACTTTGTTTAGTTATTATGATTAAACACCTCCACCGTACAATGCGAGTGTGTGTTGACTCATTATGCGGAAAGGCAGAGAGCGCACGTCCACATTTAAACCCCCACATTAACGTGCCGCTTCAGTGAAAAACCCAGCTTGGCGTGTTAGAATGCATTTGATTGCTCTGCACGTGTACAAATCCTGGCTCTTACTGTGTGAATATTTCATCACCGGGCAACACTCAGGCAACAGTGAACAGGGATTGTTTTTTTTATCCGCTACTCAATGTCAGTGCAGTGGCAAAGCTTGGGGAATATGTAAGGAGGCCGTTATCACTGGAATATCATCCAGAAAGCCTCAATGTGACATCAGTAGTTTCCCGAACTTAGGAAGATTAAAGATGGATTTGTCTTTCTGGGCCTTGCTGACATGAGGGGTAAAATCAGCATTTCTTGCCAAATCTAGTGGCACACATGCAACAAGACAGCCCTGGGATCAGACCCTGTGCCGTGGAAGCAGCAGAGATGCAAATGGACAGGCTGTCCTGAAATTTCAGATGAATGAGAGGGTTGACATCCTTTGTTTAAACTTCCTCACTCTCCTGAAGTAGATGCCCTGAACAAATTAGATGACCATTGGGTTTCAGAGGGTCATGCTCTCAAGCAGAGTCATCCAGCTTTTAGGAATCAGCCACCCAATGACAATTTCAGAGTCTTCCGTGCATCAATGTGACAGCTACTGTTTGCAGAAGTGCAGGCAATTGGATTTGAAATGGATTTGCAGCCCAGATGATGCTTTGATTACTCCTGAGAAAGAGAATAACACAGAAGAGAAAATCATCATCTACAGTTATTGATTTAGAGCCATCAGGAAAATAAATTATTACAGGGTTTTTTTTCCTGAAAAGATGCACAGAAAATGTATCATATCCATCACAAGCAAATGTCCCTTTGTGCTACTCCTCCAGAGACCAGAAACCTAGATTCCTAGTCCCATAACTCCTTCACTTCAATGTCTCTCCTGCACAAGCCAACACAACATACAGTGGTCGTACCATTGCCTGAACAATATTTGAGCCAGGTGCGAATGCATGGATGTATTCACAGATTTAGCAACATGGTTAAATGGCATTACTGTACTCAATTCTATAAGTTCGTCAGACTCCTTCTGCACCACTGCTGGCAATGAAACATCCTCAAACCAAAAATGCAAAATTCGAGCAGAAACGATAGCTGTTGTACACATTTTCAGTAGATAATTTCATTCCATGTGGGAAATTGAACCCCCTTGTGTGATGGCCCTGTAATTGCAGATCTTTTCTATTGAGACTTCTCATAGCAATTTTCCCCACTGTTGCAAGAATCACCATCTCTGAGTGTCCCTTGTGTAACAGATAGACCTTTCAAAATATTCACGAGAATTAAAATGGCACATCTGCCAAATTCCAATCATCAGAATTTTTTAATTGTCAAGAAAGTGTAGCGCACGAGTGGAAAGTATCGAGACGAGATGAAATGTACAGCACAGGATCATCCTCAACCACAAACATTAAATTAATGTGTACATGTTAAACTGCTTTACTTTTGTGAGTGCATACGTGGGTATAGTCACACAATGAGATTTATTTCTGAAAGCCATTCAGTCCACCAAGTATTTTCAGATCTCCCCAACATATTGCTTAAAGATAGAAATATATCGATAAAATACCCGGACACTGACACAAACACATTCCTGCGGAGGGAGCTGGTAGGAACGTTGGGTTGCTCGGTCAATGGCCAGGGTCAACGGCAGCACCACGTGGTGTATTCCACAAATATGCCCGACTGTGAGGGCGGGCACAAGCCGGCGTGAGTAGGTTAAACGTTGAGTTTTATAAGGGCACCACGGGGTGACCAGCCCCTCCCCACCCAGCCCCCTCCCTCTACCCCTCCCACCCCCACCCAGCCCCACCCCCCAACCAGCCCCACCCTCCCCACCCAGCCCCTCCCTCCCCACCCAGCCCCTCCCCAGCCCCTCCCCACCCAGCCCCTCCCCACCCAGCCCCACCCTCTCCTCTCCACCCAGCCCCACCCCTCACATTTTATCCGGGTGTCCGGATACACGTGGACAGACATACACAGACATACACAATTAATCCCCTGCCTCCTGTGAATTAATCCCGGTTGGGCTTCCAGTTCATATAAGGGCACCACGGGGTGACCAGCCCCTGCCCACCCAGCCCCACCCCACCCAGCCCCACCCTCCCACCCAGCCCCTCCCCACCCCACCCTCCCCTCCCCACCCAGCCCCTCCCCACCCAGCCCTTCCCTACCCTCCCCTCTCCACCCAGCCCCACCCCTTCCACGTGGACAGACATCCACAGACATACACAATTAATCCCCTGCCTCCTGTGAATTAATCCCGGTTGGGCTTCCAGTCCACTACGTTTCCTACCAGTATAAGTCCACCAAACCTCATTCAGTCCCCCACTACCTAGCCACCTACATATACATCCATGGAGAGACTTCTAGAGTAACAGAGGATTGCGTATAAATCAGATTCCACCAGGATTGTGTGCCCCAGCGGGAAGCAGTCGTTCAGTATTCATCGTTATTCACAAACTTGCTCTCCACGATGTTGGCTCTCCACAAGATGACATCTGGAACGCTACACGACTGCATCGAGAGAGACAGAGAAAGATAAAGTGATGAGATAATGTGATGAGATAATGTGATGAGGTAATGTAATGAGATGAAGCGATGAGGTAAAGTGATGAGAAAATGTGATGAGGTAATGTGATGAGATAAAGTGATGAGGTAATGTGATGAGGTAATTTGATGAAATAAAATGATGAGGTAATGTGATGTGATAAAGTGATGTGATAATGTGATGAGGTAATATGAGATAAAGTGATGAGATAAAGTTATGAGGTAAAGTGGTGAGGTAATGTGATGAGGTAAAGTGATGAGATAATGTGATGAGATAAAGTGATGTGATAATGTGATGAGATAAAGTGATGTGATAATGTGATGAGGTAATATGAGATAATGTGATGAGGTAATGTGATGAGGTAAAGTGATGAGATAAAGTGATGAGATAACCATTACTACATTACTGCGGAGCATAATTTAAGGTAAGTTAATTTATAAACTAGTATTCAGTGTTTTCATTTTTTATTAACTTCATGCTAATTACAGCAATTTGAAATATGTTATGTTATTAAAATGTTCGTGTTTTTCATAGCTTATTTATGTATTTAAGGTTATTCTTGTAAAAAAATATTTCTAGAGGGATGTACCCCTCGTGAATAGCGAGGGGATATTGTAGACACTTCCTATACATTTTTATTTCATCCAACAGGACTTATATGGTGCTCGGGTCAATTCCTGTCACAATTTTACGAATGTTCTTTAAGTTTTGTTGTCTTGTAGTGCCAAGCACGTGAAAATGTTTTCAAATAAATGCCATTTCAATTTCTACCTGTGGCTCCAGTTGGTTTGATGTAATGTTTTTCTACGCATCTAATTCATTTCTTTACACGAGTGTCCACGTAAGGAAAACATTTTTTAAAAAACCCCACCTAACATGCCTTGAACAGATCGTAGATTACCATGCATTTTGTCACAATCCAAATTCATTAGCTTACTGGCTCCTGAGTACTGAAACATTTGACACGTGATCAATGGCAGGCTTTTTTGTTCTATGGTGGAACATTAAAAGGCAAACAGCTACCATATGCCATGGTGCATTCGTACAAATTGCTGTGCTATATTTCATTTATCATACTAATTCCTGCTCTCCGGCAGAGGTGAGCAGCATATTTTGCCAGAAAGTAGGTGATTACACACGAACCACATGTCACCAATGACATATCATGGAACAAATCATATTTCAAGCTGGTTTGACACTAGTGGGCTGAATTATGGCAACAGTACAGTCAAATTGCATTCATAGTCTAAACAGCTTAAAGCACACTAAAACCCTTGCTTGGTTCAGATAAGTGGGTGACACATTGGTGGTCTGGCCACACGGCTAAGATATACATAACGAATTTCTAAATCATCTCAACTCGCAAAACCCATCCAACCAGTTCACCATGAAAGTGGAAGATGACAAAACTCTCCCATGTCCGGATATCGGGCGCGGTCGAAACGATAAAATTACACACAGCATTTACCGAAAACGAACACTGACGCCTATCTGAATGCAGAGTCATACCATCACCCCGCAAGAAATCCTCTCTCCTTTCTAGATTTGAACTCCCCCCCCCCCCCGTGCCGGTCCAGTACATCATTTCATGCTACATCATTTTATGCTAATTCCTTTGTCAAGGCGTTTTTTTGTTTCCTCCCCCACACATCAAAGGACGCGACCTGGGCTTGGCTGTCTTCACTCCAACGCTGTCCTCTGGACAGTACGGTCCCTTCACCTGATGACGGCCACTTGTGTTGTGGCCGAAACGTCGTGATTTTTGTTGTTTTATTTTTTACCTACGTAACTTTACCGAATAGAACCAAAGAGTATAAATCCTCTCTCATCAAGACGCTCATACATCGGGCTAAGAAAGTGTCAGATGGTGATTTTACCGTAAATATGTTAAAGTGGTGCTGTAATTGAACGGTTACAATGATGCACAAATCAACAGGGCACTGAATATCAAATCCAAATCAAATAACACGAGCGTTGAAATTGACCAAGTAATTAAAACTATTAAAATACCATAAATTGCGGGAGTAACTGATGAAACGAGCCAGATGTTTGGCTAGTTTTTTTGGAAAAACCAAACATCTGAGTCAGATTTGGCACGGTACATAAAATACAGAAATTAATATCTGGTAAATCTTGACTTAAAGCTTTCGTGACTGCAGGAATTCATATTCTTGGGTCTTTCGGTAAAGTCACGTAGATAGATTTTCCTGAAGTCGACCACTTGTGTTGCGATCAAAACGTCGTAGTTTTTTGTTATTTTTTGTTATTTTCTTTGAACCTATCTACGTGACTTTACCAAAAGACCCAAGAATACAATATCCGGTACTAAAGATGTATTGCCGATGCTATCAACAGAAGGTATGTACCGGATTAATTGCTTTTCTGGCAAATGCTATATTTGGCAGACAGGACGAATGGTCAGCATGAGGCTAAAAGAACACCAAAGGAATGTGAAATACTCCCACATATAACTGTTGGCAGTGGCAGAACACGCGTGCCAACAAGGCCACTCAATTAATTTTGATAATGTTGAAGTTCTGTGCAAAACTAGTTACTACTGGCCAAGACTAATAATAAGATAATCTATTGAAATTGAGATAAATAAAATATAATGTAACCATTCGGTATAACTACAGACTTAGTGCTGCTTGGAAGCGAATCATCAAATAATACATAGGTTAAATGCATGCCTATACAAGTAACTTTACTTCAATGGGGATTACCTGTCAACAGACAATAACAGGTACTGATATTTTAGTGCACCCAACTGGCAATGGATTACCATAGTCATTTATATGCATTCATCAATCACCCCCCCCCACTTCGCTCACGAAGGGCTCACAAGTGACGTCATCACATCTACCCCTCCACAAATCTGGCTACCGCCTGATGAAGCGAGTTGTAATTGCTGGCTAAACGTCGTACTCAGATTGCAAATGGTGTGGCTTTGCTCTCCAACACACCGGTGTGCTGTACTAGCGACGAACTGGCATGTTATTTTTTTACGTGACAACCTTTACTTGTTGGCTGTGTCGGGTGGTGGCGGGTTTTAACGGCACATTTATATATTTACGTGATCGAACCGAATTTTTTTTTTAATTATGGATATTTGTCGTGA